CCCCTGCCCCCCGCACCTGCATGAGGATCTGGACTCCGCTGCGGAGATCCTCCGCCATGATGTCTGAGTAGAAGGCCTTGATCTTCCTCTTGTTCAGCCACTTGGTGTGCCCCTTGGCGATGAGCCGGAGCTCAGGCATCCTCTGCTTGCGGGGTCCCTGTGCGTGGGGGGATCACCATCGCCACAGTGGACACCCTCCCGCTGACCTGAGACCCACGCCCCTCCCGCCTGGAGGGTGCTCTGTGGGTCTACAGCACCAGGGCTGGCTCTTTTAGGGGGCAGAGAGGGGATAGAAGAGGAGGGAAGGGGAAGAGGAGGGAGGAAGGACGGGGGTGGGGAAGCAGCTGCAGCCCCCCACACCCCAGCCTCACGGGGGAGGGGAAGGTGCCCGGGGTCACTTCAGGAGTCAGGCCGCGCCCCCCGCCCCCCACTCACGATGAGCACATGGCCACAGATCATCAGGCTGAGGTTCCGGGTGAAGGTGCCCACAAAGTCCACCAGGGCTGGGCGGAAGTTGGGGGGCCCGGTGAGCACGAGGCACTGGGGGCTGGAGAGAAGACAGCAGCCATCGGGACAGGGTGAGACTAAGTGTCACACTCAGACCCCAGAGAGCCCTCCTTCCTCCCAAGGGCCAGACAGGTGAGGGGCCTTGAGCCCCTCTTCCACCCAGGACGCAAGGAGACGTTCGGGGCCCTAATGATTCTCGCGGCCGCCACCGGGGGTGTCCCTCAGCCTGTCTCTTCGGGTCACCAGACACCCTGCGTGGACAAGCACCCCGCTTCCTGTTCCAGCTGGTGCCCCGCCGGCCCCACCGGCGTGTGTGAGAATAACGGCGAGGCCTGTCGCCTGCAAGCTCTCTGTGTCACCCCACGGGTCGCTCAGCCTCTGTGTTGAGAGGCAGCCGAGGGTCACCGTCAGAGGCCGCAACCAGACTCAGCTGGAACCTGATGAATCTGGCCAGCTGTGTGACCCAGGGCCAGTTACTGGACAGCGCTGTTCCCCAGTGTCCTCCACGACTGGGGTGAGCAGAGCTGTGGTGTCTGCGTGAGGACATTGCGCCGCACCTGACCCCACAAAAGTGCAACATAAGTAGACCCAATTATGAGGAGCGTGACCTGGGGGAGGGCGGCCCTGCACGGGATTCTGGAGTCATGGAGGGGCCAGCTTGGAGGGGTGTCGGGGCGAGGGTCTTCTCAGTCAGCCTCACCAGGGACTAGGACGGGAATGACAGTCCGGCTGCGAGAGCCCTTGGCATTCCCAGAGGACATTCCCGTCCTCTGAGGGGTGGGGGCCACCCACCTGCATGTCCCGGCAGACAGCGTCAAGCGCAGGTCCCCGACTTTCCTCCGCCCGCTCCCCCTCTGAGCGGGGACCCCGTGTCTGCCTGGGTGACAGGCTCTGGCCCTGTGCCTGCCGGAGCGGTGCGTGGCTGCTGGGGCCCAGGCGTCACTCACCGGTAGTTCTTGATGTGGTCCTCCACCTCGTTGAGGCCCACCGAGTAGCTCAGGGCCAGGTTGTAGGAGCCGGCCTGCACTGAGGAACCCCAGTTGACCTCTGAGGATGGGGTTAAAGCACAGCACTATGAAGCTGTCTGCAGCCACTGAGCACGAGTCCCGTCCGCGGCCAGGGAGTGACCCACAGGGTGCAGCAGGCCTCTCCTGCCTCCCCGCTGCTCCCCTCAGCAGAACCTGCCTGTTCTGCTCCCCGCTCGGTCTCTGGTGAGTCCTCTCACCCCTGCACCTCTGGCCTGTACCCCTGTTCTTGTGTGAATAAATAAATGAATCTTTGGGGGAAAAAAAAATCACTGGACCAAGCTAATATTCAGGAGTGGGGTCACTAGGCCTTCTCTTGGAACCGAGCACCCATGTGAGTGGGGCCGGCCGGTGGGTGGGCAGCCTGATGTTCTGTTCCTAACATGCACACGAACCACTGCTGTGTACTGACCTCTGTCCAGGCCTCTCCTCTTGGCCAGCAGGCCTTGACAGGGATCGAGGAGGCGAGTGCAAGTTCAGAGTTCTAGGCATTCCTGGAGTTCTGTACCCCACCCCCAGGTCACCCCAGGATCCGTGTCTGTGCACATGTACACACGTGCCCCTGTGTGTCCACCTGGACCCACCTGCCCTTCAACCAGCCACCCTGGCCACGCCGCAGGCCTAGCTGTGTCCACCAGTCACCGGCGGATGGACCTGGGCAAGTCCAGGGTCCTGGCTGCTTGGGAGTGTGATTAGAAGTGGAATGTGGTTGGGCTTGACCTCCCTGGCGGCGTAAGGGTTAAGTCTCAGCACTATCAAGCTGTCGCCAGCCACTGCGGACTGCAGGGAGCTGACCCACAGGGCAGCAGGCCTCTCCTACCTCGTCCACTGTGGGTCCTCCCCGGCCAGGGAGCTGACCCACAGGGCAGCAGGCCTCT